AATCTGCCCATCTCAGCCTCCTAGAATGCTAGGACTTACAGGCATGAGCCACCACACCGGGCCAATTTTTATATTTTGCTTTCTGACCTCAATTCTTATGGTAGTTAAAAAGCAGGAAAATGCCAAGCTCAGCTTCACCTACTAAGCTTAGTTTTGTAACCCAAACTAATTATCATACCTGTGGAAAGTACATCATTCATCTCATTCATAGAGCTTTACAAACATTATTCTGCCACAAATTTATATGAATATATATTGAATAATATTGTTCAGAACTAGAACTTATAATTTGAGAAAATTTTGATTAATTTACTTATTGAGTCATGTTTATGGAGAGGCTCTGTGTATCATGGCTAGGCCCTAATGACACTGTAGTAAACAAGACAGGTAAGTTCTGAGTTCTCTTGGAGGTTATGTGTGCTGACAATAAGCAGAGTAAACAAATTAGAAAACAGGATAACTTCAAGCATTTAAAGTAATGCAAGAGCAACAAAAATGAGGAGAACATGGCTAAGGGGCTAACTGCAGAGTAAGTGGTCGGGGAAATAACCTTTGATGAGGTGATATTTGAGTTGAGATTTGAATCTCAAGAAAGAGCCAGTTATTAGAGATCTTAACTAAGCAATCCAGGCAGAGGGAATAATAAATGCAAAAGGCATAAGACAAATAAATTGGTGTGTTTGAGAACCTAGAAGATGACAAATGTGCTTTATCAATGAAAGATAGAGAATAGATTATTACACTATTATATATACAGAATATTATACTATAGTGCCATATATGTATTCTGTATAGCACTATATATATATCCTATATATATAGAACATCATACTATAGTACTGTGGAGTTACTATTTTAATTGAAGACCTGGTCTCATGAAAGATGTTTCTTACAAGGCTGCTTATTCTCTGGCAGGGCATCTTATGCTAAGAAAGTTGTTATTCAAAATATTGAGTGATTTTATGTAAAAGGTAGACATTATTGAATCATTACTTTGCTGTAATTCAAGGAAGATACTTTTTTCCTAACAATCTGATTTAAAGAAACTGCATTATAAAAGATACTAACTTTACAGAGGGAAAATATTGTCACGTATAGGACGTATTCCTCCTAGTCGGGTAGTTCTAAGAAACCCAATTATTATCAGAAGGGTTTTTTTTTTAATATTACAGATAAAGGACCATTATTTGTTTTAAATATTTACTTATAAAATGTGGTGATATTTAATAAATCCCATATGTAAGACTTATCTTGATATAAGAAGTTCTGTAAGTATGGAAAAATTGGAATATTTTCTGTGAAGATTCCTTTTCTTTCTTTTTCTTTGAGACAGAGTCTCACTATGTCAGCCTCAGTAGAGTGCCATTCCAGCTCACAGCAACCTCCAACTCTTGGGTTTAAGCGATTCTCTTGCCTTAGCCTCCCAAGTAGCAGAGACCATAGGCACCTGCCACAACACCTGGCTACTTTTCTGTTTCAGTTATTTTGAAGTATACCCTTGCGTTGTACACATTAGGCGAGATCCCACCAAATGCCTTGCCTTCTCCCACCAATTGCCCTCTCCCCTCCCTTCCCCTCTTTCTTCTGTCCCTCTTGCTAGACTATATTTGTGTTTTATCATTTGTATGAATGTGTAAGTGTTTATATATTGGTTTCGTAATAGTATTGAGTACATTGGATACTTTTTTCCCATTCCTATGATACTTTACTAAGAAGGATATGTTCCAACTCCATCCATGTAAACATAAAAGATATAAAGTTTCCTTCTTTTTTTTTTGAGACAGAGCCTCAAGCTGTCCCCCTGGGTAGAGTGCTATGGCATCACAGCTCACAGCAATCTCCAACTCCTGGGCTCAAGCAAGTCTACTGCCTCAGTCTCCTGCCTCAGTCTCCCAAGTAGCTGGGACCACAGGTGCCCGCCACAACGCCTAGCTATTTTTTGGTTGCAGCCATCATTGTTGTTTGGCAGGCCCGGGCTAGATTCGAACCCACCACCTTAGGTGTATGTGGCTGGCGCCTTAGCCACTTGAGCCACAGGCACCGAGCCATTTCCTTCTTTTTTAATGGCTTCACATATAACCTTTATGGAAAGAAGTGTGGAGAATCCATAAGGAATTAAAAGTTGACCTTCCGTTTGATCCTGCAATTCTATAATTTCTTTTTTAATAATTGGTAAAATCCACTAGTGCTCCCATCTAGTCCTGATGCTTTCTGTTTTGGAAGGTTATTAGTTATTGTTAAAATTTTTAAATAGGTGCAGGCATATTCAGAGTATCTATTTCTCTTTAAGTTTTGGTAGATTGTGTCTTTCAAAAAATTGGTTTGTTTCATCTAGGTTATCAAGTTCACGTGCATAGTTATTCATAGTATGCTTTTATTATCCTTTTCATGTCATGGGATCAGCAGTGATGGCCCTTTGTTTCTGCTATTAGTAATTTGTGTCTTCTCTCTTTTCTTCTTAGGGTCTTTTCTTCTTTTTTTTTTTTTTTTTGTAAAGACAGAGTCTCACTTTATCCCTTTTGGTAGAGTGCCGTGGCATCACACAACTCACAGCAACCTCCGGCTCCTGGGCTTAGGCGATTCTCTTGCCTCAGCCCCCCGAGTTGCTGGGATACAGGTGCCTGCCACAACACCCGGCTATTTTTTTGTTGCAGTTTGGCTGGGGAAAGGTTTGAACCTGCCACCCTCAGTATATGGGGCCGGCGCCCTACCCACTGAGCCACAGGTGCCACCCTCTTCTTAGGTTTCTTAGTGTCTTGGGCTAAAACTTGACTGGAGGTGTATCAATTTAATTAATCTTTTCAAAGATTAATGATTTCTGTGATTTTTCTCTGTTGATTTTCCTGTTTTTAATTTCTACTTTAGTTTTTATTATTTTCTCTGCTTGCTTTGGATTTAATTTGCTTTCTTTTTCTAGCTGTGTATGTTAAGAGTCCAACACATTGGTTAAATAAATTAAAAGTAAATACTTTAAAATAGCCAGGTGTTATGGAAGGTGCCTGTAGTTCCAGCTACTTGGGAGGCTGAGACAAGGAGATCTCTAACCCAGGAGTTTGAGGTTGCTGTGAGCTACAACTCCAAGGCACTCTACCATGGATGACAAAGTGAGATTCTGTCTCAAAAAAAAAAAAATAGTAAAATGATTCAAATGTCTACACCTATATTAATTGGTGAGCCATGTTTTTTCATGGCAGATATATATAGTTACAGATGTTAGATTATGTTGTGAGATTTAGAATACTCAATTTTATATATTAAATCACTGAAGTCTGGACTCTTTACCTGTTTTACTTCTAGAAGTTCATTTACCTGCTTTCATGGTCTTACTCTTACTCACCCTGGTCTGGAACTCCGGAGCTTGGGCCTCCACCTGCCTCAGCCTTCCAGAGGACTAAGACTGTGGACATGAGCCACTGTGCCTGGCCTAGTTTTCGTGACTTTAAAAATGATTACTTGGTCTATATATGTCCTCCTCTTGGCTTCAAAACTCAGTGAATCCAAGAACTTGTTATGAGCCAGGTACTGCATTAGACCCCGGGAGTTAAACAAGTAATTAACATGCTCTAAGGAGTTTATAGTTTTAGAAAGATGACACATAATAAAGGACAGTAGTATAAGGTGACCATTGTTATTATGAAGAGGTACGGGAAGACCTGTGCCTAAGCATAGAGGATTAAAAGCACACCCAGTGCTTAATGAAAAGTCAGTGAGTCATTTGATGTAACTGCAAGGACCTGAACCTGGTGAATGGTGGTAAGACAGAAAAGGTTGCTTGGATCAGATAGTGGAGAGGCTGAAAGTCAATTTAACAACTTATTTTATTACCTTCCTTCTTCCATTTCTGGCTTCCCTCTACAGATAATAGCTTTTTCCATTCTAGTATTCACATTAATGTAGTACCTACTACCATCATCCTGGTTGCCCAGGAGGTTTCTTTTTTACTTTCCTACTCCTTATATCCCAGATCCTTTCTCATGGTAATTATTAGTATTATCAAAAAATATCCATCTCTTCTTCCCATTCCCATGGACACTACCATGGGTTTTTTCTTAGGATCTTTTCTGTATTTCTTTTGTCCATTTTTAATATTATTTCTAGGACTTCTTATTCCTAGAACTTCACCTCTTTTCTGTTTTAGTATTCAAAGTAGCTTTATACAGTAGCTAAAATAGTTCGTCTGTCAGGGAGTCTCAAGAGCTCATTGGTAAGGATATTCTCCATATACTTATGTAGAATATATTTTTCAGTGAAAGAGGCAGAAGAGTATAGTATATTATTTTGTGTGTCAGAAAGGAGAAGGATATTAGAATATTGACACTGTTTATATTTGCCAAAGAAACTCTAAAAAAATTATAGAAGAAACAATCAAAATAAATACCTGTAAGAGCAGGGGGAAATGGGGTGGAAAAGGATGGGGTGAGAAATAAGACTTCTCACTATATACCTTTTTGTGTTGTTTTGATTTTTAAATACCTGCATTTTATCTACCATCTAAAATTCTGGCCTTATGTGCCACTTTAAGAGAGTAGGAATGAGAGCACTCTGATTTCCTGTCATCCTCATATGTGAAATTTACTCCTTAGTTTACTGTGCACGTGTCTCTTTTTAAATGAAATGAATTGTATGTGTGTCCCCAAATCACTTTCAAAATTCAAGTCAAAATTTCTTACTTCCTCCTCCATAGTTGGTTGGCTGTTTCTTTCATCCTGTCATTATAGTATGAGGTATTTGTGTTCCATTTTTATATATTGGTTCCTGGTATAACTAAGGATTCTAGTTAATTTCCTGAATAGGTTCTACTCTTACTTTAACACCTTCAATAGCAAACAGGTTCTTTTCCCCTTTGTATTATCTGAAGCATAATTGAAGAGATACTTGATAATAGCTTTCATTTACTTTAGAGGATTATAATCTATTGATTTCATTTGGAAATTTTAAACTAATTTTTTTTTTTCTTTTAAACAGAGTCTCACTATGGCACCCTCCGTAGAATGCCAAGGCATCACAGCTCACAGCAACCTCAAACTCTTGGGCTTAATCGATTCTCTTGCCTCAGCCTCCCAAGTGGCTGGGACTACAGGCACCTGCCACAACGCCCAGCTATTTTTTGTTGTTGTTGCATTTGTCATTGTTTAGCTGGCCTGGGCCAAGTTCAAACCCGCCACCCTCGGTGCATGTGGCTGGCACCATAACCACTGTGCTACGGGTGCTGAGCCTAAACAAAATTTTAAATTAGAAAAAAATGTCATACCAAAAAGTTTTCCTACTTTTTTAGAAGTTTGTCCAAAACTTCAAAGTATGAAATAGCAAAATTTAACTGCGTCGGGAGAAACAGTTACAGTTTTAAAAAAATATTGAAAATAATTTCATTAGGGTAACTTTCTATTTAATTAACATAAATATATACAGATTGGTGCACTAAAAAAGTAAACATCACATGGCCACCTGTTCACTAATTTTTATGGAATACAATATGATTTATATGCTAGCTACTAATTAGTGTAGTAATTGAGAACTGTGTTTTTTATCTTTGCTGATATATTTATGATATGCAGAATTAATTCTGAATTTATAAGTTAAATATGGTGGCTCAGTGCCTGTAGCTCACACGGCTGAGGTACCAGCCACATACACCAGAGCTGGTGAGTTGAAATCCAGTCCAGGCCTGCCAAACAACGACAACTCCAACCTAAAAATAGCCTAGCACTGTGGCAGGCGCCTGTAGTCCCAGCTACTTGAGAGTCTGAGGCAAGAGAATCGCTTAAGCCCAAGAGTTGAAGGTTGCTGTAAGCTGTGACACCATGACACTCTACCAAGGATGACACAGTGAGACTTTGCCTCAAAAAAAAGAAAAGAAAAAAAAGAAAGTGTCTATAAGTCAAATATGATAAACAAAAAAGTTTATTAATGATGGGGGTTTTTTACATTAAGTATATGATCAAAACTAAGAAACATTAAATTCTATTAAGAAATGAACATTTTAAAAAAATTTTGTTACACAACATAGAAACTTATAAGCTGAGAGAGACCCATAGGACCCTTTTATTGCTTATATATTGTCAGCAAATATTTATTTTGAAACAGGCAAGAAAACTGGATGTGTATTTTGAATATGAAGAAAAAATAATGAGCAAAACTACTCTGGACAAATCTCTTCTAGATATAATATCAGATCCTGATGGTATGTACCTCAAATTTGTGGTTAATGTAAGTTTCGCATCTGATGAATTTAGCATTTTTAATATGAGTAATAATAAGATAATTAAATGAGCTCTTTTCTGTTGAAAATTTAACATAACAGTTCCTAAAGTGTAAAAATGATTTGCGTTTGATTTCATTCAACTTTTCTTTGATACTTTTTAAGTGCTTTTTATATTCATTTGTTTAAAGTGATATATCTGAAGTTAAATTTCTACTGATTCCAGGAAGATTTGAAGATACAACATTCAAAACAAGTATTTCTAAGTAATATACTTTCTAGTTACTTAGGTAGTTACTTAGGTTTATCACCAGAGTTTCCTAAAAAACATATCTAAAACTGAACTCTGTTTTTTGTGTGTAGGGAATTTACTTTTAAAGGACCTCTGTATTTGATCTCTATCTAAGTATTTGTATAGTAGTGTTTCTTAAAAGAAAATACAAATGTACTTAGAAAATATAATCTAATTCTAACGTTTAATTGTAATGACTGTGGGATCTATCTAGGGTTTTAGCCTCTAAAATTCTCCAAAATTTAGAGACCTATTGATCATTTCAGAATAGTTTTAAATTCAAATCTCAGCTTTTTCCAAAATGAATGAAATAGCTAGGACCCATTTTGCATATAAATGATACAAGCTAATGATGATGGCTTTTGAGTTATAGTTTGGTATGAATTTTAGACTTTATTCCAAATCAAAAAATAATTTAAAAGTCTTTTGTAATTAGAATTTACTCATAAAAACTTCTAAAGAGCCACAAGGATTGTTCACAATTTTAAAAACCAACATAGCATTTTGAATGTATCTACACTTTACAATGAAAGAAATGCAAAAAGTTATATGAAAGTCCATCACTCTGTGCTATTGTTATTTATAATAAATTCTGAATAAAGTTGAAACAATTAGGTATGTTGATAAGAAAGTAATCAGAGCCTTTCTTTTTTCTTTCTCCTTTCTCAATTGATTTTATTTCTAAAGACATTAAATAGGGTAGAGCAAGGTAGGACTCGTGTGATGCTGCTTTAGTTCTGAACAAGATTTTGGGAGCTGAACAGGATGGCAAAGGCATGTATACATAGGATAGAGGGAAAGTTGGTAATCTGGTGTTAGATATCAAAGTTCAGGAGAGCTGAGCAAACTGTCCATATATGGGAGCAATTGAACTAGGGGTATAAGAGCTCTGTAGAGCAGATTGAGGAAGGTGACCCCACACAGGAGCAACCCTATGTGAAGTATGTTTGAGTGTGTTAATGGGTCTGTTTTAGGGAATTAGAGCCCAAGTGAAGTAAGAAGGGTATCCATACAGACAAAGGGATGGGGCAGCAGAGATGGGCTGTTTGTTATATACAAATACAGAGGACTGGATACATTAGCAAATATATTGGATAATATGAAAGGAGCCAGATTTCCCCTTATCAGAGAAGGAAGTTATAAGAAGGGAAAGAACTAGAATGAACCCTGTCATGTTGGATTGGAATTAGAGATGTTGGTGTGAACTTAGTGTTTTCAGTATACATTTATATCAGATACAGAAATAAATATAGATAGCACGTGTACATGCACGTGTGTGTACTAATTCTATAGTTCTGCCCTCAGAGAGGTCCTGGGAGTACCACTAACCCATAGTAAAGATTTTCACTTATGAGTACCATTTCCATTAGGACTCCTTGGAGAAGTGGCTGACTCCAGAGCTAGGGCAGGGAAAGTAAGTACAAAATAAGTATGGGACATGTCGAAAGAACCCAGAAGTTAGCTTAGAGAGGTTCCACGTCATGACAATTTGAGCATCAAAATAAGTAATAATAATAGATTACAAACCACTGAATGACATAGGTTGTGAGTCCATACAGACACAATAAAGGAATAAGTAGAAATTTTATAGGATACTTATAGTTTCAGAGTTCCTCCCCATAAGACACAAAGAGAGAAAAAGGACCTTTACAGTGGAGAGGGATGATTAATATCTTATTAGGTAATCGTAGTGTACATCATCAATAATGAGACATACTGCAGTGGTGTACTACCCAGTAGGATTAATGCAAAGAATACAGCATAACTTTAATGACATTCTTGCTAAAGATGTATAACGTTAAGTCTATGAGGAAAAATCAGACAAAACTTAATTGTGTGATATTTTAGAAAAAACTAGCCTATAATCTTAAAAAATATCAAAGCCATGCAAATCAAGAAATGTCTGGAGGAACTGCTTTCTACAGAAGACAACTGAAGAGGCGGGGCACTGTATGCAACACGTGATTCCAAAATTAATACTTTTGGCAGAAAAGATAGAGACAATTAGTAAAATTTGAAATGGGATCTGAGAATTAGATGATGATGGATCTGTCTTACAGTAAATGAGTACATCAGTGTAGTAACAAGTCAGTGTTAATTTCCTGAGTTTGATAATTGTTGAGGTTAGACTAAAGAATGTCTTTGACATTTGAGGGTGAGGGAACAGCAGGTCAGCAACTTACTGTCAAATTTTTCATGAGAAAAAAAGCTCTCCAAACTATAATTAAACTTTTTCTCTAAGACATATCAGATTACTTAGTGAAGGGATTCCAACTTTAAAATAGAGAGCAGTCACAGGAGAGATTTACAAATAAGTGTGACAAGAGGTTACAGGGTGTAGCTACAGGCTTGTAAAGGACACGTTTTGACAAATTCAATTTAGGTCCCCTGTGGTTATGTCATTAGAAAATGGAAAAACTTATGAGCATCAAATGCTCACCAACCCTTCCCATCAGATGATTCTTTAAAATCACAGCAGATGTTCTGGGACATTTATTAACCTCGATAGTAATTATAAATTATGTTTCCCCTTGGAGAAAAATAGGAACTTTTCTTCCTTTCAGCAAAAGAAGGAACTTCTTTTGTAACATTACAAAAGGTTATTCTAAAGAGACTAAAAACAGACCAGGTGCAGTCTGTTTAGCACTCTGGACAGCCTATACTCTTAGCACTCTGGACAGCTAAGGCAAGTGGATTGCTTTAGCTCAGGAGTTTGATACCAGCCTGAGCCAAGAGTGGAACTCCATCTCTACAGAAAAAAAATAAATAAACTAGCCGGGCATTGTGGCTGTAATCCAGCTTACTCAGGAGGCTGAGGCTAGAGGATCACCTGAACCTAAAAGTTTGAGGTTGATATGAGCTATGACGCCACAGTGCTCTGCTCAGGGTGGCAGAGACTCTGTCAGAAAGAAAGAAAGAAAGAGAGAGAGAGAGAGAGAAAGAAAGAAAGATAAGACAGAATAAGTAAATAACAACCCAGGCCCCTAAAACTCTGAAGGAGGCAAACCTTCCCCTCATATATTAGGAGCTATGGAACCAAGAGGGTAGGGCAAGCCCCATTACTCTTTCTCTTGCCTTGTCCTCTAACTTGTTGGTCACATTTACGGCAATAGTTGACAGGAAGTGCAGGATCAGGCAGGGTAACTAAAGTTAAAGCTTCCTTGCTAGAGCACCAAAAAGGGAAGGCTACCTAGGGAATGGGAAAGTGCCAGGGAGATTGTGGAGAGGAAGGAGTTTAGGAAAGCAACCTTATTAGTAAAAGTTGTTTATGAATTCCTGGGCATGCACAGGAAACTGATCTAAACAACATTTTAAAGACTGCAAGGTGGAGGGCTAGAGTACCTCCCAGATCAGCCACTGGTTGATGGGATAAATCCCAAAAGCACTGCAAAAGATTTTCAAAATAAAATCAGTGATGGAAGCACAATCCATGGAGAGCTGGTGGGAACGTTAACCTGCAACCATCTGGGCTACTTATCTGTTAAACCAAAAATATCAGCATTCTCTTAGGATTTATTAGAACCCAGAGTCTCATAACCTAATATTCAAAATGACCTGTATATTTATTTGTAAACATGAAAACTTTGGAAAATCTAATGTTCATCTTTGTTTTACCATTCTTTGTCATATTTAGGAAGTAAGGATAATTTGACAGTGTCTGGTTTCCAAATCATATTTTTAAAAAATCAGTAATCAGCCATGTGATGGAAAAAAATTCGTTTTTATTCTATAATTATAGTAATTATGTGTTTTTGCATCTTAGGACACACTTTGGAGTGAGAGTGAATATTGTTATTTGTTCAGTCCAGTGCTTTATCATATTTCCACTAATATGCATCCAATAGAAAATGG